GATCCATTGGCAAAAATGAAATATAATATTCATAGGTATACTTTTATTAAGTGTATAATCACCTGAACATAGGAATAATTTTAATCTACACCAGCTGTGGGTCAGCTTCTATGAAGTCCGCTATGTTTCTACTCTTATTCCCAGCTCGAAGTCAGACATCTTCTTTTAGTTACAATATGCAACTTCACTGCTAGATGCAACTACAGCCTACACACTGGTCCTTTAAGGTAAAAACTATACAGTATAACAAAGGGGGTTTAGTATTATATTGTAGCCCAACTAAGTCATTTAACTTTTTGATGTTCACCTAACTATAAGCTAAGGAAATTGAGCAAGCAACAAGCAAAGGAATATTACATAATATGACAAAGTAGATATTGACAAAACAGCTGGCAGTAATTGCACTTTAAAATGTTAATGTCTGATCTCTAAAATGTGCATACCCACACAGCAATTGGCTGATAGTTTCCCCCCGCTACTTCAAATATCTATAGTAGAATATGAGGTTTGATCTTATAAAAAAGGTCATTTCAAAATTGTACTTGAGCCTCCAGCAACTTCAGGGAAGTGGGAGGCAATATTGGACAACAGCGAAAACCAACAAGCTCTCCTTATTGGAGATTATTCGGAAGAATGTTATTGTTATTTCTGTACTCCGGCCCTGTGTAATTTATGTAAATCCGGCCCACTGTTGGAGATCTTGTGGGCACAAATGTTCATATATTCTGGAGTTGTCCCTCTGCTTCTATTTTGGACTCTAATTCATAATATCTTGGTCACTTGAACTTCAACGGAGGAAGGAAGAGAAGTATTTGTTCGGATAACAGTGTGATGTTGATGTACCTGTAGATGCCCACCACCACAGCATGGTCTCTCTCATAGGGCTCCAGTGTGAGCTGTTCCTGTGGTTTCATGTTCTCAGCGCTCATCTTCTTCACTTCTGAAGCAAACACTGCCTCTGGAGCCGCTGTTGAGTCTATACAGTTAGCCTAAAAGTAAAATAAAAAAAAAATAAATAAAAAAAATATATTACACTGTACAGATTCAAAACTAGTCACAAGAGGCAGTGTGTTTCATTACAGTAGTATACTGTGTAATTATACTGCAACAGCAGTATCAGCTTTTTGATCACAAATCCCTGTGAGGAAGAAGCCAGTAAGAGTCCTATATAAATGTAATCCATGCAAAAGATGGACAGACGGAAATAGACACTAAACTGAATACAGTTCATTCAGGTAACTTAGGAAAAGACTGCAACTAAGCAATGAAGGCTGGAGAAACTCCCTCAAGACAGCGACAGGTCCAAAAGAATACAAAGGGTTTTCTGTTTTTTACGTTATCATTGTGTAGAAGATCAATCAATATTAAATGACTCAGATCGGGGACTAAACACTTGATGACATCCCTGCACCACACAATAACTGGAATTTGTACTTTGTGTTAAAAGGTTGAGGTGGAGGTTGTCCATGTACCTTGATGGAGATAACAAAGTGCCCTCCATTCTTCAGGAAGTTGTGAGCGTTCAAAGCAACAATCCTTGTCTGGTCAGGCTGGGCAACATCAGCAAAAATCACATCCACCATACCTAGGGAGAGACAGACATTTATGTTGCTTTGCATCCAGTCTGACTTCACAGCCTTTTCCTATTCTTCTGGGTTTCTGAGGCAGATTATGAACTGTATTTGTTGGCAGGGAATATGTTCAACATGACACAACTTAAACTGCAATCTATTCATTTTAATTCTACTCAATTATCCACCTTATTTTGGCATTTTATTGTTCACTCAATACTTTGTGCACTGTTTTGCTAACCCCATCCATTTCTGCTTCTCTCACCATGTATCACACAGGATTTTATTGAGCCTACAAAGTAAGAGACACATACTCTGTTACTTTGTATGCTCGTTAATGATTGATGTGAGAATTGGTACCTAGCTTAACAGTATTGGCCCAGTCCCTGTCAGTGGTTCTTGGTTCTAGACCATTAAAAAAGGAGTTTGTTTTTTGGCTGTCAAAACTAAAGAACTGGTTCGAGATTAGGCACCGTCTCTGAACGAACCCTAAACTGTCTTTGTGGAAAAGGAGTGATTGTGCTCCTTAAAAAGGGCTCTAAAGTCTACATGGCTCTGATAAACCCTGACCAAAAATATGGTAAAAACAGTATTCATGGTTCAGTATGTTCTTCCAGAAAAGACAGGTATTAGAACCATGACCACTTCAATCAAGACTACCTACCAACCAGCATGCGGTATTTGTGTGGGTGCCGAGCATCTTCGATGATTGGAATGATGTTGGTGCGTTTCTTTGCCACATTGAGAAGGTCGCGACCTGATCGATGGGAGAACTCCACGGCGTAAACCAGCCCTTCCTGTAACACACAACACATTTACCCTCAGGAAAATAACACCAAGGCATCATTAAACTAATGTGAGGTTATGCTTAATGTTACTCATTTGGAGTGTTCAGTGTGTGTTTTTCCTACAGACCCATAGATCAGTCATTTTAACACTAAAATCGTGGCTGTTTTTGCTTAACTTTTAACTGACGGGGGGGGGGCTTAAAATTATTTTTTGTTCCTCTGTATTCGACAGGTTCTCTTATTAAGAATGGATAGTGTTAGAACCACTTGTTAAGACATTCTGAGTTTTAATTTCACAGATTAAACTGATTGTAAAATAGTATAACGTTTGTGAATTTTTGGTGGGAAAACGGCCATTTGGTGGACGTGTTGTTTTAAATGATAATCAATTAAATCTGAAAACTACAAAGTGTGTAGTACTCACCGGCCCAACAATGTCAGAAACATGGGAAACTGTAGTGCCAGACGCAGCTCCCAGGTACATGACCTTTGCTCCGGGCTTGATGTGGATCTGGTCTACTCCTCCCAAGATGGCTGCTGCCAGCTTGGAGCGGAACGGATTCCAGGCTCTGTATTCAATCTTAGTCTCTCCTTCCTAAAATAGAGAGAAAAACGAAAGTGAATCCTAATTCTGCTCTCACCTCTGGCCAAAACACCAGAGACAATAGCTGCTGATTTCACAAGACCAGGACTCGGGCTTTAAAACTGATGCAGAGGATCGTATTTGACACATAATTTAGCCATTATGTAACAAACCACTTAGTAATTATGGATATCTACACCATCTGACCTCTGTGCTACTGTCAAATCCAATCACCTCCACACTGATCCTCTTCTCTCCATAGACCGACTCTCCTACCACCATGTTCTTGGTCACCAGGGCATCCTCCTTCCCTCTGGAAATGAACACTCCTGAGTACACACACACACACACACACACACACACACACACACAGTTGTACTTTGTGTCAAAAGTTAGAATATCCAGTGGCGTTGTATAAATATTGGCTTCAGCCCCAAGAGATTAATCCAGAATAATTACAAACCTTCGTGTCTGTGGGGCTCAACCAAGACCTTCTTCCCTCCTCCAAAGCCTCCTCTTCCACCACCCCTGCCTCCTCTTCCTCTCGGGGTGCCTCTGCCACCCCCCCGGCCCCGAAATCCTCCACCATCTGGGGACCTGAATCCTCCACCTAAAAAAAAAAAAAACCCCAAACAAACATTTTATTAGAGCTACTGGGGTAGAAACAGTGTGTACCCTGGTAATAAAAAAAAAAAAATGCTTTTATTGGAATTGACAGGTTACACACATAATTTGTTCAGTTTATAATGGAAACTTGATTACTAGTACATGTGTATTCTTTCATGAGAAGACTTCAGTCTTCTCATGCCACATTTGATCAATTACAATAATATCAATACTTTGGATGATGGACAGCCTCACCTCTTCCTCCTCTGAATCCTCCTCGTCCTCCCCGGTCTCCAAATCCTCCTCTGTCTCCAAATCCTCCTCTACCCCCACCTCGTCCTCCACCTCGTCCTCTGTCCCCACGAGGACTGAACCCTGAAAAACAGAGACAATACACACTTCAGCTGAGTTTATAACATGTGCATTAGGTGCTTACTAGGGCTGCCCCCTAACAGTTGACTAAACCGCTGAGAATAGTCTTAGTCAGCACACCTTTTCTTCAGTAGCCAAATCAAAAGAAATTCCCTTTGGGTGCTGCACTGTGCCACGAGGACTTAAGAAAATCGGTCCACATGTGTCGTATTTAGCCTCTTGGACCTAAACAGGAAGTGGGCCTTTTTTTTTTTTACAATTTACAGGCTTTTTACAGATGGAGAACATCAGCTAGTTCGGTGACACATGGCCGCAGGGTTGAGAACTCTTTGAGTACCAATTGTGTACTCTGGGTCGGTAGGACGCGGTACTAAAAAAAACATACCGTGACCAACACACAGCTCTGACAGCAGTAAAACAATATTACCCATTGTGAGGCGTGGGACGCGACCCTAGACCCCTAAACACACATAGTTCCATACGGGCTAATGTTAGCACGAGCTACAGTTCACTTTCGAGTCTCGTGGTCCAAATAAGATGAAAACAGCTTCACCAAACAACTCTGTTCAGCCCGTAAACAGCCCGGTACATGCTTAAGTGTCACACTAATACGTATTATAGTTGTGTCGCAGTCGGTCGTGGCAAGTTCGTCTGTTTTGTGTTACTGGACGATAGCGCAACACGTGGGAAACTCCACAGCGTGCTGCCGGCGAACGGCTCCCACTTTTACATCATTAACGTAACGGGAACGTTATCGTTCGGCTTACATGTCACCTGTATTAAGGGAAAAGGCGTACACATACTTGGCAAGTTTACTTTCTAATGAGAACCGTTAATGTGAGGTTAGCAGGGCAGCATGGCGGCGCAGGCCGAGCACGCAACATTTTTATCTTCCAATAGTTGTACAGGTTAAGCATACAGTGTACTGTCTAACGGTCCTTAAACACACCACCACAACACTGTGCAGTTGTTACTGTACCTGGTCTCATATTATCTGCTTTAAAGCCTTAAATCGGTGCTGCCAGTGGGATTCTTCTCTTCTTCTACTGCGACTTCCTCCGAACGGACTGTGTGTGACCACATGTGCAGATACTACACTACTCTTCTTCTTTTCGTTCTTCTTCTTCTTCTTCTTCTGGCTTTACAGCGGGTTGCAACCATGAGTATAAGGTGTATACCGCCACCTACTGTACCGGAGTGTGTAGCATGCGTTATGGTTTTATGGGACTACTTTACAACATAATAACATTAATTAATTAAATTATTAAACTAAATCCTATAATATAACCCAATATCCTTCAAATATTCAACAATACAAGCTTTGTGTATATCCAGTTGTTCCAAATACACTCTCAATTCTTCCATTTTCTTCCTGTCTGTTTTTTCTTTTGATTTAGCCTTATCCACACTTTCCCATATTTTCTACAATGTAACAGTATATGTTCTACACTCTCTGTGATTTTACATTCCAAACATTTATTTGATTGACTTTTACCTAACAAAAGCTAAATGTTTTATTTAACCCTGTGTGGTCAAACCTCAGTCTGGTTAAAAGTCTCCTCCCTTCTGTTCTTTCTAATCACATCCTGTGCATTGATAGATTTCTGCACCCTGCCATTTCTTCATCATTTATTTTTTGATCATCGCCTTAGCTTCTCCTTTACCCAAGGGTATAACATTGCTTGTCCTGGTTGATTTTTTTTGCTATGTTGTCTGCCCTCTTATTCCCTTTTATGCCTACATATGCCGGTACCCAGCAGAATCTATCCGAAGCCTCCACAATCTAAATAAACTTTAATAGATTTCTAGCATTAAATGTTCTCTATTACATTTCATATTTTGAATATTCTAAAGGGCTGCTACAGAATCAACACAACACAACACAACCCTCTTTCTGGTTTTAGTTCCTCCACCCACTGCAACCCTACAATAATCACCATCCTTTCTGCCGTGTAAACTTACAACTGTTATTGGTAATCTTTTCCCAATACATTCATTGTTGGTATGTATATTCCTATGCCTACCCTATCTTTTCATCTTTAGACCCGTCTGTATAAATATCTAAATAATTATATTTACTTCTTACTTGCCATTGCCAGGTGTCCTTTCCCACTATCTTCCCATTCTCTCTTTAATTCTATTCAACTCTACCTTAGGTTTTGGAAACAGCCAAATAGGGATATTACTTATAGGAGTAGGGGAGATAAAACAAATATTCTGTATTCTATATTCCTCTGATTTAGCCTTTGTTACCCAGCATAAGCCATTACCTTGAAAATAATTATATTCCCAACATTTCTGAATAACACTATTGGCAGGGTTTTTATTACCACACCCATGTAGATGACTCCAGTATGTAAGCATGAGTTTATATTTTCTTAGGTCTGAGAGCCCTTCTACCTCAACCTGAATTGCCTTAGTCTGTTTTTATCTCATTGCACCAGCACAAATCCTCAATGCTTTATTAATTACTATATTCTTTTTTATTAAATGTGTTTTAGCTGCTGCTCCGTACACAAAGCACCCATTATCGTTGACCTCATCAGAGCCCTGTCCCCAGTCTACTGCTACTTTATAACTTTCTTACATTTTGATTCCACCTTTTCCATATGTATTTTTCATGTACCCTTTTGGCTTAACCAAATACCCAGATATTTAAAATGATCAACTGTTTCCATATTGTGGCCATATATAACTTCAGGTTCTGTTTGTCTATCCCTTTCTTCCTGGTAAATAACATATGACAAGACTTACTTGGAGAAAGCTTAAAGCCCCAATTAAATGACCACTGTTCTACTTTTCCTATTGCTTCCTTTATTTTAATTATCAAACTTGTGGGATCTTGTCCTCTCACCCAGATGGCCCCATCATCTGCATACAGAGCTGCCCCAATCCTTCTGTCCAGATTCATAAAAAAAACCTGACTAATTGGGACTCAGCTTTTGATTTAAGTATTATGGTATAGACAAAATCACAGGTAACACACATCACAGGACACAAAAGAACACTGCTGGCGTTTAAGCCCACTGTCCTCAGTATGCTGAGGTCTCTAACCTCTGGATACCTCACCACTGTCAGACTCTGTTCTTGCTGCCTGCTAGTCATTGATCCCTTTCTGTTTGGTTTTTGTGGTCTTGTTTTTCTTCACTGACTGCCTGTTGCTAACCTCTGCTTTGAATCCATACCAGGTACTGCTTATTTTAATCCTGCTCTTTTCCTTAGCCTTGCCTTTGAGTCCGCACATCTATTTCCAGAGCTGTAACTATACACATTGTATCAAAGAGTACAGTTCAAGGCAGTGGTGGACTCAGTGGTCACTGGCATGAGGTTTGCCCAATAAATAAACATTGGCGCCTGCGCACAGAGCCTCTGTATTCCACATGGCGCTGTTATCGGGATTGACGTTGTGTTTGACTCTTGCATGGGGAGGGCGCCATCTAGCATCTGTCTTCGGCAGTGTCCCATACATACTTTCCCCCACAGATGATGCCGGAAGTAGCCGATGTGTCATCGCCACGTCACTGTGGTCAAACGGGAGGAAAGATGGCGAGCGCCTATGAGAGTTTCAAGTTGTAAGTGCTATTGGTCAATATCGCAACAGCATGTAGCTTTACTGTACGTGGATAGTGAATACAGAGGGGGTCTCTGTACGGACCTCAGACTGACACGGCTAACGATAAACCTTCTGAATACGGAACGTTAAACTGTACCTTGTGTGGCGGACATCGTGGTTCTGCTCCTGCTGCCAATGCTGCTATGTCTGATTACACAGAAAGTTTTCTTCTCCAGTCATCACGTATAATTGAGTTGGATTTGAAAGCATGAAATAAGTAATATGCCGTACTTTAACCGGGTTCCCTTGCTCCTAAAGCTAGCTACATCTGATGATATTTAAAGCAGCTCAAGTTAGTTGCAGTTAGCCCACATAGCTAACGTTAATAGGTGTTTGCTGTCAGCTCCCAGAGCCGGTGGGGGCTCAGTGTTCTCTGCCTCAGCTGTCTCTGTATGGGCCGTTGTTTTCTGTGAGTGCAGCTGAAGTCTGTCTCTGTGTTACCAGGCGAACTACACCAGAGAAGTTCTACATAGAGGCTTGTGATGATGGTTCCGAGGATGTCCTGGTTATTGACAGAGTGTCCACTGAGATGACTCTTACAGGTAAGAGAAAGGTTGTGTGACTGAACCCCTGCACACATTTTGTTGAATGAAAACGCACTGATGAGATACAAAATCATCACACTACAGGACTTAGCCAGATTTTTTGCTCAGATGTGTTTTTTTGTTTTTGATTGGATGTTGTCATTATATTTAAATGTGGCCCAGAACAGATTCAGTGTGAACAGGAGGATGACAACGTCTCACTAAGTGACATATTTTATGGATATTTCATATTGTATTCAGAACTGTGCTATGAATCAATCCTAACAGTGAACTCAGTAACTGCAAGAAGTTTGTGTAAAACGAGTGATTTGAATGAACTGTATGATGTATCTTTTATAATTTTTAACAATCATTAATACTTACTAGGGTTCTTTTTTGACAAATGAATTTTTTTTCTTGTTCCTGACATTTGGCCATTGTTCTATTAGACAATTTACTTAACCAAATGTTGAGATAAAGGCATACATATTTTTTAAGGTTCCCTAGCTTAAAAATGAAGAAGGCTTTGCGACCCCCCATGAAGCTTTGGCAACTCCAAGTGGGGGTCCCGACCACCAGGTTTGGAACTCTAGACCAGGGGATTTCTTTTTTTTTTCTTTTTCATGCCTTTATTTGATAGATACAGCTGAACATGGACAGGAAAGGGGGTAGAGAGAGAGGGGATGACATGTAGCAAAGTGCTGCAGGTCGTATTTGAACCCTGGCCGCTGCAGCAACTCTGTATAAATAAACCAATGAGTGATAGCTCAGCTCAGCTTGTTTCTCTGATAACTTAAGATCCAGATGTCCAAAGACTAAAATCATCATCATCTTCATCCAGTTCAAATATAGAATAAAAAACCACCAAGTAAAATGTGGCGTAATGTAGCTCAGATGATTCTACTGTTGTTAGTCTTCTGAACACACTGTTACTAACTATTGTTGCATTCCTGCTGTGGTCCTCAGTGAGGAGGGACATCCATGTGTCCGCAGAGACCAGGCCAATATATGGACTCATGGGGACTATACGATTGGTGGCAGGTAAGTTCAGTAGGTAATGCAGGAAGAGTATAGTATATTCCAGCCAGCAACCATCAGCTATTAGATAACTGTGAGATTCCAGCCCTGGGTTATGTTCTGCTGTCTCGTTTCTAACAATGAGTTTGTGTTAGGCATGTACCTGGTTGTCATCACAAAGAAGAAAAAGGTGGGAGATTTGCTGGGCCATGCTGTGTGGAAGGCTCTGGACTTTGACATCATCTCCTATAAGAAGACAATACTACACCTGACAGACAACCAGGTAGGATATTATGTATTTTTATCTCTGGCAGGTTGTCTCCCTGCTAACTAAGTCCACAGTGCTGTGTTAGAGCAAAATAGTGTTAGGGCTGAACTTGTTTTGATGAACATTTGCACGTGGTGAAGCAAGCACGGCCCTTAAAATGACTAATTAAGAGAGTCCCACTGGTATTCTTCTGGTGGTGTTTGTTAGGGGTGTTGTGATATACCCGCACTCACAGTAACCATGATATTTAACTATTGATTAGTTATTAAATAAAATGTTGATGTTAATAATGCACATATGATCATACCTGGTAATAAGCCCAGTGCCTTTAAACCTTTCTGTTTTTTCTGTTCCATCTTTGTGGTTAACACTTTTCCACCAAAGTAGCTCTGGTTCTTGACAGGGCCTTGCTCAATGCACAACAACCTGTAGAATATTACAATCCTACTGTCGTTCCCAAGGGAAACCTGCTATTTTTTGGGTTTCAAAAACACTCCAAATGGTTTTCAAAAATAGGTGCTTGAACCGCAACAGAGCTTGTTCCCTGTTAGTGGAAAAGGCGTATCTATGTAGTTGACCCTTCCTAAGTTCCATCTCTGTTTGGGGGGATAGTGGAGCAATCCTCGGTCAGAACCTTGGTCAACTTTCTCTTTCCTGTACTTAGATATGCTCTGTGCTAGGCTAATTGATGTTGGAAAGACAACCACATTTATGAACCCTGGTTGCACAAAACCAGGAAACCTCCAATTACTAGACACCGTACAACCTGAGCCACAGGCAACCAGTTGTGGGGCTGATTGATTTCTAGATGTGAAACTAGAGAAATCAGATGTACTTGGTGTTGCTAAAGTCACCCAGTGTCTGATCAGAAGCTACCTCTATTGGCTGCATTCCACACTGCTGCCCTTCTCCAGTCAGTGTGTATATCTCTCACCTCTGGTCCTGGATCTGTCTCTTGTTTCAGATGCAAGACAACAAGACTTTTCTGTCCATGATCAACAATGTGCTTCATACAGATGGCTACTACTTTGCAACAGACTACGACCTGACCCACACTCTGCAGCGCCTGGCCAACACTAGCCCTGAGTTTCAGGAGATGAGCCTTCTGGAGAGGGTAAGACATACTCATAGAGCACATAGAGCTACAGAGCATGTTCTGTAATCTCAAACCTAATCTTAAATACCTTTTTTCATAATACTTCCAAGGAAGTGTCCATTGTGTTTAATAGGGCTGCAGTTATTGAATATTTTGGTAATCGAGTACAAGTGAAGAAGACAGAACGGGCTTTGGTAAGGTGTGTGGATAGTGATGCGCGGGATTGGGGTTTTTCAACCCGCGGGTCCGCATTTATTAACATTTCACCCGCTCCAGCCGCCTGCACAACCGCATCTATTTTCACAACCCCCCCGCGCTATTAAATTAAAAAAAACCGTTTAAAATATGTCTTATTTGGTTCTGACAAAATGTGTTGAAAACAGCCCTTCGAGTGGCCTGAAAACTGGCAACAACAAATTCAAATCTTAATAAAAAAACAAAAATAACAATAAATAAATCATAAAATAAAATTAAATTAGGCTTGCATTTGTAAGGGTATTATTTGTAATAAAAGAATAAAAGAAAATTTCACATATTAACCACATAGGCGGGGGGGATAAAACAAGCGTCCAGCTACAGCTACACTGTTTTCTAAAGGTTTCTTATAGCACATAATAGAATTCTAAACTGTAACCACATATTGCTATTTCATGAACATTGGCAATAAGCTTTTGTGACGTTCAGTCGCAGGTTGGAATTTACCCAACAGTGTTGTTAAGAAAGTAGGCTGTATGGACATATTTTAATCCTTAATGACCCCACACCACCCGCCAATAAAGTAACATTTTGACCCGCCGAGACCATAACAGCTCATAATGTTAATGTTAAGTTTGACAGTAATTTATTTATTTTATTGGAAATTTTGACTGAACGGTTTACTTACTTTGCATAATAATGTATAATAAATAAATGTTCAATTTTCTTAAAAAGTAAACAAATTGTTTGTACTATTAAAGTATCTGTCTTGTTTTCTTTTTATATTATAATTGGCTTTAATTAAGCAAAAGTATTTTTATCCATTACTCGATTAATCGATGGAATATTCGAT